GGGCGGGGAATTGCTGCCTGCGGCACCCCTTCAGCCCTGTGCTGAAGCCCCGTCAGGGAGGGGGGGCTATAGGATTTGCTGGACTTGGTTAACTTGGCCCAAGGACATTATGCCGGCCATGCGTTTTCACGCGTGAACTATGCCCTCCCTTGCAGTACAGGCATGAGGCACCCCCTCGGTATGGCGCCATGTACCGAGGCCCCTCATTCGGTCATCATCCGGTCGGTGGGTTTTATCCGAGCCTTGCGGGTATATTCCCTGCCCAACTTTGCCCACCAAAGAATATTGTGTTTTCTCTGCGTCTGCGCGCTGTAACATTAAAGTAGGGTAAGCTCTTTTTTTTATTGAAATCCTGTCATTTCGTAGGTTACAGAAACGATAGGTTTTTTCCCCATACAAATCCTTACATTTTGAATGTTACGCAACAATGCCGATGCTCGCCGATGCTCATATTTCGAGCTTGGGCTACCTGTGTTTTAACACTTCAATTCTGTGTTGGAAATTTAGTTGGAATGAAAAGAAACAAAATCTATTCATAGCTAAATGCGAATTGAAAAAAGAAAAACATATCCACGAAAAATAGTGTTTTAAATGATAAACACGCAAGATTTTGACATTTGCATTTCGGATGATGTGATAGATAGGCGTGATCCGATGGCGTCAAATTTGCATATTACTAGGAACTACAGTGTTGAGAAGTAACCAATGTCAGGAGCCCAAAGAACTAGTCTGTTAAATTAGACCAGAGTTTTCCTGTTTTCCCTCGGAATAGCTCCAAAAGATATGTCAGAGTTCCCAGTATAATCGTTTGTTTAAAAACATGAAAAAAAAAAGAAAGAAATAAAAAGAAAGGAAGAATCGTATCAGGGGAAGGGCAAATTGACGAACTACAACGAAGTGTTATGCAGCGATAACAGCCAGCGTGCATTTTCACTACAAATATGCATGATTAAAATAGATGCATTCTACTGCCATTGGACGTAGATCAATTAAACGGTTTTTTTGTTTTGCACTTCTAACCGGCTCGCTTCAGATCTGAAACTGACAAAGGAAGTACTTGAGGGAAAAATAGATTCGGTCGGTAAAACAAAACTGATTTATATAAAGTTTCTGCACAGGCCAAACCTCTTGGTAATACTCAGTGAAAAGTATGGCCATTGACCAAATTTGTAGGAAAAGAAAAGTAACTTTCCACTTGAGTATTATTCTAGGTTTAACAGCCCATCATGTAGATAAACTGTTACTAAAAACAACTGCCTTTGTTACCTGTGGTAAGGTCACCAAAGTCGGTGACTCAATCTTTCCTATTTAAGAGAATTCAACATAAA